CAGATGTCTCAGGCACTGAAACGCCTGAGGGAGCAGCATTGCTGCCACATTTGCCATGGCAGATGCACCCGTGTGTGCACACAGACAGAGTCAGTGCAAGGTCCCTGTGAGAAATTCCCCTCGGAGGCAGGGAAATGCTCACTGTGGATCCGTTTGCATCTCCTCACTGTGCCAAGGGCTGAGCCTGGAGCAGGGCGGGATCGGCCCAGGACCCGTCGGCGTTCGGGGATCACCCGAGGGCAGCAAAGGGGAGAGATCCCGGCTGGGAGAGGCCCCACTCCCAGGGAGGTTCTGGTCAGCGCTGCTGGGGCCAGGAGAGCTCCAAGGGTCTCCTTTTGGATCACTGTTTACAGGGCCCCAAGGGATGGGCTTCAGTCACAGCCACGTTTCATCCTGGCCACACTTAGGGCTGGCAACTTTCAGTGCAAGTGTGAGAACAGGGATGTTGTGCCAATCAGGGAAGTGAAATAATTTCCAAGGCTGTCCATAAAACCCAGGAGGTCGTCGTACAGCTGCAGTTCCTGGGAGCAGAGGGTGTTTCTGATGAGCTGCAGAGGAGCTGAGCCCAGGGGCTGCTCCTCAAGGCCGAGGCCACACAATCATTTATCAGATCCCAGTGCAGCCTGGAAAGTGGATGGAGGACACACCAGCAAAGGGAGGGTGACACTGTGGATGTTTATTCATCAGGTGACTCCAGGCATCTCTCAGTCACTGTCCTGGGGTCCTTCAGCCACGCAGTGGAAGGGATCAACAAGCTCAGACTGCTCTTTCTGAGGTGGCAACATCGCTGCTGGCAGGGTTTTCTTCTGGCTTCCCAAACACCCTGTGGAGGGCCTTCCTTAGGGATTTAATGGAGAAATGTCTCCTGCAGCTCTGCATGGAGCATTGTCTCCAGCAGCTCCCTATGGAGTAGTCTCTCCTCCAGCTCCCCACCAGGAAGTAGATGAAGGGTTTGATGCTGCTGTTGATGCAGGCAAGTAGGAAAACCACCTGGGAGGACAGAACCGTGTAACCGAGCTGCTGCAGGAAATACCAGAGACTGAGGGGCAGACTGAAGAGTGCAATGAGGAAGATAACGATGTCGAGTCTCTTGGGTTGCTGCTGCTGGGAGCCAGGCATGAAATGAATGAAGAGGGTTGTGCTGGAAACGACCATGGGTGTAGCAAATAGGAAGGGGTTAAGGATGTACAGGGAGTGGAGAACCACTCGGCAGTGCCCCTGGTCGTGTGACTGGCACAGGGAAGTCACGGTGGGATTGACAATGATGAAAACAAAGAAGAAGGCCCAGAACAGCACATCCGTCAACAGAAACAACAGGCACTCAGGAAGCTGGCAACCACAGAGAAACGGGCAGAGGATGGACTTGCACCTCTCAATACTGATAAACATCAGCCGACACATCCATATGATGTAGGAGAACAAGGACAGCTGGAAAAGCAAGCTCAAATATATCTGGGGCATTATAGTGGAGCAGGACACTTCCTCCAGCAGGAAGAGCAGGGTGGAGGGCACTGTGATGAAGAGGAAGAAGAAGTCGGTGAAAGCCTGGTTGAAGATGAAGTCGGTGATGGTATTAATGTGGAGGAGCCAGAAGACAGGCCCATTCCCAGCCAGCCCACAGAGGCAGACGAGCAGTGTCACACTGTGTATGGCCACATTGGTGACATCT